CTCTACCAGGTATTTTGTTGCCTTGTACGTTATTCTTGATGTATTGTTTTAAAGGGACCCTTTTAAACTGTTCCTTATCTTAAAATGTACATTAAAGCTTGTAAAATGAAAATGGAAAATGAAAATTCGATCAAGTGTCAGTAAAATATGGGAATTTACTTGGGATCCCTGTGGAATATCACGGTTTCAAGTGGTTGGAGTTCATGTGGAGCTTGACATCAGATCGTCGCCGCGTTTGGCAAGTTGCATCAAAGATGCCTCATTATTGTGTGGTTTTCAAATTCAACAATCAATCTAAGAAAAAAATCCCAAAATTTTATTTCACCCTATACCAGGTATAAGGGAGTATTCTCATCGTTTCAAAATTGGGCCCCTGTGTACGCGTTTTTTTGTCCCACGTACAATCATAAACACGCGTATATATGCGTCTTTTGTGCGTATTACGCGATATTTTTCATGTGACATATACGGGTTGGGGCGGGGGCGGGGGGAAGGGGGTTTCAATTGACTAGTGCATAAGATGGAGGATCTCTTACACAAATTTAAAAAAAAATAGATTCGATCCCAATACCAACGTTGCTTTTACGTGAAAATATCGATATTAAACAAGAAAACAATCATTTTTTGGTCAAGGGAATATTCAGTAACAAGTTGAAATTTTTTTATCAACACAGATTACATTTAGAAACTTAACYTTAATTTCATTTTTATCTGGAGTCTATACATTGAAATTCGTTCTTTAAACTCCACAACGTTAATGGGAATTTAATATACTGTTTATACATAGAAGTTGAAATACTAAAACAGGGTAATGATTGGATACCTTAAAAAGTAAGGTATTTTTAAAAATTATCGATGAGAGCATTAAATTTTTCCACTAAGGGACTGTTCATTAAATATGCCTCAGAGTGGTCTGGAGGAAAAGTCAAAAATCCCTTGGGAAAATTCGCAGCCCCCCTTACTCTATCACAATATTTTTTTCAAGCCCCCCTCCTTCTGACATTGAGGAAAAATAGCCCCCCCCCATATGTATAAAGCAATGTAAAATAGCTAATCTTAAAACTTTATAAGGAGTCACAAAAAAAGCAAGTGAATGCTTATGTACTTAGACCTCTCTATAAAAAATAAATTAAAGTTGTTGTTTAAAATGATAATTGATAAGAAATGTATAAAAATAAAAAAACATTGATATAATATATTATACATGCTTTAATTTTGTGTTTCAACCACCCCTTCGAGTCAGCAAATGCCATTAAAGCCCCCCCCTTCATTATCTGTTTATTTTCAAAGCCCCCCCTCGGGCATAATTAATGAGCGGTCCCTAAACAACTTGCTTGCCGTCAWTGATCATGTCTCCTTTGAAGATCTTGGGGACTAATAAAAATATCGAGCGCATACGAACACAAAGACGCATATATACGCGTATTTTTTGTGTGCGTATTTTTAACCGCACATACAGTGTATTTGCGCCTCAGTGGTACATGATTTTTGAATATAATATCGTACGCACACTTTTTTTTCAATCAAATTTTCTTTCACGGGTTTAATGACTTGGGCGCCAAGCAGCTGGGTACAAAAACCTAGAACTACGGAAGTCTTCAGACTTTCCAACTCGTGAGCTTGCCGAGAACTATCGTGAACCATCGAGACTTTGATTGAGCATTTTAGTAATCGCCGTAAAATTCACCCGACGCATTTCTTTTTTTTTCGGATAATGAATCCACAAGGACAAAATGGGAGATAATTTGGCCGAAAACAACTCAAAGTTGAAAAATAACTTTCAACAGTGTTTGATTCTAGTCAATGGATATTTTTTGTGCTGAATGAAGAAGACAATTTACCTTTTTAACGAGCCGCGCGCCTTATTTGCTTATTCTTATATTTAGTATTTTTTTCAGTTTAAAATACAATTGAGTTTGAAACTCGATCACAAACAGCTTGCGCATGCATTAGTTCTTCCCTTTTTCACAAGCAATAGTTGGGCAGCCTCTGTACCAGCCACAAGTTCCGAATAGAGTTGTTAATAGGCAGTCGATACAAAGAAAACTTAATCCAGATGTTATGCCTACTACATTCCCCCACAAAAGCGAAAGCAAGAGGTGCAACGATCATACCCAACAGGAACTCCATCTTTTACAGATGATATCACCCTGAAAACCGCATTTGATCGAATTTTTATTTTCATTTTCAAAATGTACATTTTTAATGTATGTTTTCAGCTATGAATAGTTTAGGATCTCAGGGTCCCTATAAGAATTTTAGTAACCGCATTACTTCATTGAGAGGAGAGTCTCTTAGACTTGTTTTTTTCCTTCAGATTTTAAGGTTGAGTAGCGCAACTCAAGATCAAATTACATCAGGTCTTGTGATGAACCTGATATCCACTGATGCACAGAAGTTGGATGAGGTAAACATTCAGAAAGGATTTGTATGGAACTCCCTTTTACTAGTAGAACTGCTAATTATATNTCTTTACATTTCCTAACTAAGATTTTTATTAATCAGGTTGGTATCGTTGGACGCACTGGTGCTGGCAAATCCTCACTAATGGCAGCCATATTACGAATTGCTGAACCTAAAGGTCGTCTTCTTATAGATGGGATAGACGTCACTGATATTGGTCTACATGACTTGCGCAGGAGAATATCTGTGATACCCCAGGTATCATACTAATTGTTTTTCATTTTCTTAATTGTTCGGTTGTTACTTATTTATTGTGTGTGTTATTTTGGCTTTGTTTTTTTTTGGTGGATATGAGTCGTGACGAGTGTTGCTTTATCGTGATTAGGATCCAGTATTATTTGGTGGAACTCTACGACACAATCTTGATCCATTTAATGAGTATTCTGACAAGGACTTGTGGAATGCATTAGACGAGGTATGCAGTTTTTATCAAGTACATTTGCCATTTGTCAGTGCAGAAGTCATTGCCATTGTTTTGTTTCAGGTCCAGCTTAGAAATGATATCGGTGAACTTTCTGGAGGACTTGACACTGACGTCACTGAATCCGGTTCAAATTTTAGCGTTGGCCAGCGGCAACTAATTTGTTTAGCACGTGCATTGCTAAGACATAATGGAATTCTAATAGTAGATGAAGCAACAGCTCACGTGGATCATAAGTAAGCCATAGATTATGTAACTCCATATATCCGATTCCCTATAAATAAGATTACAGAAAATAATTGTCAAATTCAAAGTGACAGCATGTTATGAATACGACTTCTGTGGTGTCCGAGGCCAGCGTAAAATCACGTTTTTSATGGGTTCTTGTTTCTTCTTGTTTCTAGRACTGATGCWTTAATCCAAGAAACCATACGTAAGAAATTTTCCAGTTGTACCGTATTAACGATAGCCCATAGATTGAACACCATTATGGACTCAGACAGGGTGATGGTAAGTCCCCGTTTACTCGAATTACCATTTGTACGTGTTCAGCCCTTGTTTTTTAAAGAATGGTGCCTAACAATCAATAATTTTATGAATCGATCGCTAAAATATGATTCATTATCAGAGATTTTGTCGCAAGACTGCATACTTGATAGCAGACTTATCTGTAGAAGAACAGRAGCATTTTGTACATTTAGSCCAAAGTTCACCACTTRAAATCATTGGCTTTGCTTTTTACCRCCKTTGTTKTGATTTGCMSTCGTTGTCATTTAGTTTATTTGTTCATATCATTCTAGGTTCTTGACAGTGGGAAACTAGTGGAATTTGACGAGCCATACATCTTACTGCTTGATAAAGAAACATTGTTCTCGAAGCTTGTAGGCCAAACAGGCAAAACTAATTCAGTTAGGCTGCTAAACATGGCCAAAGCATCATTTGAGAAACAGCATCAGCCARMACCAATGGACCATGTGCCTGAGCATCTYAGGTCGAACTTAGCCGCATTTTTACCTTYAACTGGGTTTTCTGATATTCAAATTGAGTCTACTTTATGATAGAGAATTTAGGTGGTAGCCATTTATAAATTGAAATTCTCCTGACTTAAATTTGTCGTGACGGTYTTCTTCGGTCAGACTTAAAATGGCATCAAAGACTATTTTTAAATAAATAAGTATGACTGGAACTTATTTGTCCAAAGTTAAAATAAGTTGGAAAATCTCTGTAATAATGATCATCACTACAATCTTTAGTTTATTCCAAATTTCGAATTATTTACTGAGCCTGT